TGTACGCGCGCATTTCGTATGCGACGTGGGCTGCCTGTGCCGAAAGGGGCTAGAGAGGGCAGTGTCTTGAAAGTGCGCAAGAAATTATGGCGTCAATGGAAAATATGAAAAGCCACTGAGACACCTCGCACTGAGTCCGATTGTCAAACAAAACAAAAGAAATTGCAGCCACTTGGCGGTCATACTCGACTACCGAATGCTCTTTGTGCTGATATCTAATGTAAATATAATATAAATAATAATAATAGAATGTAATAAATAATAATACAAAAATAATGTAAGTAAATAAGCATAAATATAATATAAATATAACCTATATATAAACTTGACAAAAGTTTTAGTTAAATATATTTTATAAAATGTTTTTTGGTTGTAATGCTTCTAAAGTCCAGCAAAATGTTCACATAATTTGTCTAAGTTCTCAAAAATCTCCGTTTTATTTTACAGAGGAATTCCCACTCATTACCAGAGTTTTTCTCTGACACAATCATAATTGGCTGATCTTTTTGTCGCTTTCTCACTGTCTTTCATTTTCTTTCTACTTTTTTGTAATAAGTTAACACAATATATTTATTAGTTGTTCTATATTTGAGACTTATATGTTAAAACCCAGAAGCAGTTGCAAAAAACTTCCTATCCTTATTATAATTGGGGGAATTCACTATAAAGAATTAGTTGTCGTCATTCTTATTGTCTCTTGCAAATTTTTTATAAAATCCTCAAAAGAGAACAAATTTTGATACGAATTATTATTATACTTATCTACGCTTGCTAGTAGGAGTTTTCTCCCTGAAATATAAAATGTTACCATATAAATCACAAAACAGCTGAAAAGTTGCTTTTATGTATGATTGTATATTTTTGATATGTATATACTCTTAGATATGTTTGTGTTATAAATATATGCTCTTCGTTTATTTTAGTCCACATTTTTGGCTATCGAGCTTTAATATTATATCCAAAACTCTACTATAACCTTGCCTTTTCATTATAATTTGATTGTAATCATAATATTGCATATTATTTATACAAGTACTTATAACCCCTGATTGCTTTCACGCTTCTGAGTAACACTTGGAGAAACCCCAATATACATAATATATACACACACAATAAGCCCGTGGACATGGACATGTGGGTCTCTAACGAATTCTGGCAGCTATTCCACAGTTCCTGCACTCTACACCCCCTCACTTTCTCTCCATTACCCCCCTCCCCCCCCTCTCTCTCTCTCTCTCTCTGTCTCTGCAGTCTGACATCCACTTAGAGAGCTCAGGCATAAAAAACATATGTTGCCGTGCTGGGTCCTTTTACTCCTTCTGCTCGTGGAGTCGGTTGTGCTTTTCCCAACAATTGGTTTTTAGGTGGCAGTCGAGCACATTTTAAGTGGTAATCATTTACGCTTCGCAAATAAATACCGAGTTTGTGATTTGAATTTTCGCCCCCTTCGCAGACCCCCGCCCGCCCGCTCAGCTTTAGCTTGGCTGCGAGTTGGTTGTTTCTTTCCTTTTTTTTTTTATGTTTGGGTTCATCCTTCATTGTTTTGCTTTTGTTACGCTTTTTACGGCAGCTTTCGGGTTTCTCTGTTCCCTCTCTCTTTTTGTCTCTCTTCCCTCTCTTTCTCTGTCGCTGGTTTTCGCTTATTTTTGGCCGCTTTCTCTTGCGGCTCTTGGCCGCCCTGTCATAAAATTCGGCGGCCTTTTTGAGCATTGTAAATTTTAGAGGTACGCCCCTCTCGCACCCTCGCTGCCCCGTAGACCCAGACCCTTTTGTGTGTGGGGCTATGCGGCTGTCAAAGCTGCAATAGGTTCGGTTTATAGCGCGCCTCCTGCACATTGCAGATTTCCAGTTAAGTCTCTGCAGGGAAGATTTACACCTTTTTTTTTTCTTCTTTTGGCAACCGGGTCTTTTGGTTAATGAGGGTTAGACGGCATCGGTTTCATTTTTATTGCTCCCTACCCGTCTGCCAAGGTGCCATTGGAATTGTCAAAGCCAATCTAAGCTCTCATTTTACTTACGACCCGGAATCGATATAATGTTTCCTAAAGGAAGTGCTAAAAATGTTTAAATTTTCTTAGCTCTTCAGCTCGATATTATTTCGACGCTTTAAATGTGCTTTAAGAGAAAATAAAATATAATAAATAAAAATTGAATGTTGCTGCTAGATTTGAACCAGTTAACTTTCGGTTGTTGGTCTGAGGCACGAAATCTAAAGACGCCTAGTTAACAAAGCACATTTAATAAATTGTTTTATGTTTTTCCCACTTGAAGGTCCCTTTTTCGAAATTCTGCCTTATTTATCGTTTACTTTCGGCCCAAAAAAATTGTCTTGCAAAAATTTCAGATTTGATCTCATTTAGCTTGGACGGTTCAAACTCTTGAATATATAGTTATTTATTATTGTTTTATTATTATATTCTAAAGATTTCCTCAGCTATTAATTTGACCTATTTGTTGATTTATATTTATCGTAGATATTAAATCATATTATGTAAAATAATATATTTAAGATCTTTAATCATATCATGTATCTCTGCTCAGTGTTCCCCAAGCTGTTGGTGAAATCCACAGAATTAGGTTTACGAGTTTAGTTAAGCACTGATGGCTATTTGACTTCCGTCTTATCAACTAAGCCATTATTTTCTTTCCTTTTCACATGGGTATTCTAATTTTTATATACCAATTACTCTAGAGCATTAAAGCAAAATGAACTCGTTTGGGGTTTTGTACTTTCGTTGGTGGAACCTAAAAGTAAAAACCAAAAACGAAAGTTTAATTTGTGGAGACGGAACGAGCGAGCGAGAGAGTAAGAGAGAGAGCGAGGGAGACATGAGAAATAGGCTTAAAGAACTAGCCGGACGAACAAGCCGGGCTGTGTTTGGTTAGGCAGTCACAGTCGCAGCTGGGCCAAGTCAATCTGGCCAGAACGGAGTGCTTTAATGAATTGGCCGCGTGTGCGCAGCCGCAGTTAATGACGCGCACGCACGAAGCAAACAAGAAGCATGATGATGAAGAAGAAGAAGCAGAGTGAAACGGACTCAAGAAAACTGAAGAACTGAAAATACTCTTAAAGTCGGGTAACACGATCAGGTGCGAACAAAATTATCACAGACGGGTACGCAGATGCAGATGAATGCGTTGAATGAGAGAGAGGGAGAAAAAGAGAGATGCTGCCAGCAGTTACAAAGAGAGAGATAGAGAGAGAGGGGGAGACAGCGAGCGAGCGGGAAAATAAGTGGCTGCTGCAGAGCCAAACAAAAAATCAAAACTTGCCGCGAAGTTAATTATAATTGCCTGGGCAAAAAGTAACAACAAAAAAAGGTTCGGTTCACGGAGTCAGTTCCACAACAATAACAATGAAAAAAGGCAGGTCGTTGGTTTTATTGATTCGGCGCTCGGGTTTTTATTTTATTTTACTTTTGTTGCTGTTGTTGCTGCTTTTGAAGTGTGTGTGCGCCGCGGCATCTTAAATAATTTTTCATTTGAGGCACGTCCGAGTCTGCTGCCTGGCATAGCTCAGCTTATGAAATATCATTCAACTGCCGCTGCTGCTGCTGCGATTTTCGGTTTTCATAATTATATTTAATTTCAAGGTTGCCTCCGCGGCGGAAAACAACAAATAATTGCCTTCCACATAATCGACGACGCTGGCAACTGCTTAACGCCTTGTCAGAACAATGGCCTTAGCTCTGTGATTAGGCCCCCACTCTAAAGATATGCGATATATATGTACAATTCATATATGGCTAAGATAGACATGGAGTCCAATTGTTCAGCTGCTGCTGTGTTGTGTGGGCGTGTGCCCGTGTGTGACTCGAGTGCTTGGGAATTAGCTCAAGTGCAGCGCTCCGCATGTGTGAAGCACGATTCAGAGAAATAAAAAACAATCAACCAGCTTCATCTGTGGATAATGGATTTGTTATTGAGGAACGTTTGTACGTATTGAGGTCTGCGAATTGATTCAAATAGCCGGCTCTGTATCGTATCGTCGTATCGCATGTAGACAATCAGAGTTATGGAAATACAATTAGCCATTCAATTAGATGACCCTAATGAAAACGGCTTTCAAATGGCATTGATGTGGGCGTCCAAAGAGATCTGTGTCAAAAAGAAAGTTTCAACTCGCTTTTATTTCGATTTGCATAGCACAATTAACCCATTTGCAGTTTTACTTGAACTTTTACTAATAGTTAAGGCATCTGGTCTCTGTTCGGGCGCCATTTTTATTGTGCTTATAGCTGTCTAGCTAGACAGTCAGACATGTTACTAAGAACTTCAATAAAGTATGCCATCTGATGAACACTTTATATTTGCACGTTACGTTAACTGAGCCCTGCTGCTTGTTAATTGATTTGTATTAAAAATAAAGCTCCTAAAAGCTTTAAAGCCTATTTTAAGCAGGTGTTTCTTTGCAATGTTGCCACATAACCTACTAAAAGTGCCCAAAACAAATATCAGTTGATAATAAAGTTGTCTCTTCTAATTGAAGCAAATGCACTCACAACCTACAACAAACAACAGACAGAGCAGAAAATCAAACATTTTGCTTGTTGTTTGTTGACATATCAATTTCCCCAGCCACATGTAAACATATCAAATCGATCGTGCAACTTGTCATGCCCGGAATGGATCGAAATGCCAAATGGTTGTCGGACACTAAATGAAATTGTAAACACACATAGATACTGTGACGCATTGTGTTGAAAAGAAATTAACACGAAAACGAATAAAAAACAAACAAAAAATAAATAGAAACTGAGCAAGCACTCGAACTATAACAATAGCGCAAGAGCTCTAGCCACAGCTCAATTTGATTTTCCAGAGCGCCAAAGCAAAGTCCATGTCAGAAAATTGAACATTTTTGTTGGGCTTTCAACGCCTGCGCAAAAGTCAAGCGCGACAAGCGTCATAAATTGAACTACAACATGCTAAACAATGCCAGCAACAAAAACAAACAGGAACAACTACAGCAACAACACGACTTGGCCTGTTGTTGCTTTTGTCGTGCTTTTTGCGCCACACCCAACAACAACACAAACAACAAACAGCAACAATTTAGTCAATACAGATAGATATGCATCTGTAGCATGGCCTGGCTTGGGTTCAGACTCTGAGCTCTGCTGTGGCCCGAGCTCTCGACTCGCTGCTGCTTTGTGCCGCATTCAGCCGTCAACTTATTGAATTTCACACGCAAAATAGAGTGTCTAAGTGGAGTGTCTAAGCTGCAAGGTGATCTGGAGCTCCACCTAAAACGAATAATAAATATATAAAAAAAAAAAACAAGCTCATGCACTTTTCTGTATGCTGATTGCCGCGATCGCTTAGTCATGTGTGTGAGTTGCCGGCGATCATTTAGAACTGCGCTTTTGACGTTGCCCAACACCAGTTTCAACGCCAGCTCCAGCTGCGTTTTTCTGTTCGGGCTGTGTTGATGGTTTCGTCTAGCGCCAAAATCGATTAGACAAATAGGTAGAGCTGTGTATAGAAAACACTGTTAACATGTTTAGATACAAAGCATATAAGTAGATGTTTTTTTTTTTGTATTTTTTTGTATAGTTGTTAAAATGAAGTTGTAAAGTTTTTTGTGTAATATGAATAGCACGCGGCCGAGCAGGGACTACAATTCTTAGAATTTTCTTAAAAATTTAAATAGTTTGCTTAGGATTTAGCTAGAGTTTAGTATAACTATGAGTAAGCATTAGATAAGTATAAGTATAAGTACACAGATCGCATTGAATATGACAAATCCGCCACTTCGTGTCGAAAATGGGGGAAAAATTGCGAGTTGACATTCTAGAACCGACAAAAAGTGTGTTATATTAGCTTATAAGCTTAAATAAGAGATTTGACCAATGTCTTTTCGTCGGACTTGCACTTGAGTTAGCATATAATTTATACTTGTATATGAAAGAACTTCAATTGTTTCCTCCCGTCACTTTGCAATCAAATAGCTTTATGCCAGTGTTGAACTACTCACAATTCTTGACCCGCTTCATTTAGCGCTTAAGTGTTGGCAAATAGTCATAATGCAGCGAGGCCATATGCAATATAATGAAATGCGGTCACGCCCATGCCGGGCGAATGCGACTGCATTTGTAGAGCATTTAAAGTCGAGCTGAGCCATTGATAATTATAAATATTCATGCAACGCAAACACTACGAAAATTCTCAGTGTGGCATTTACGAACGCGCAGCTATAATAAAATGCAAATGTGTCAATTAAAGTGTGCTTTATTTTGACAACAGCAAATGCTGCGGCTCCCACTCTCCTGACTTCCCGCCCCCCCTCTCTCTCTCTCACTCTCCGCGCATTCACTGCTGCTGCCCCTGCTCCAGTTGCAAACCCAGTGCCCAGTGCTGAAAGCGCTGCGTGGATGTGGATGGATAGATAAATATATAGACAGCACTTGGATGTCAGTTGATGTTGAGTGTTGCTTGCCTGGCTGGCTGGCTGGCTGGCTGGCTGGCTGGCTGGCCGACTGGCTCTCTGGCTGCCTGGTTGTTGACCTCACACACACACACACACACATATTGACACTGAGTGTGTGCTTGTGTGCATCCATGAAGTGCGCCAACAAAGCGTAGTTTCACTTACAATTAAATGACGTCGACGACATTTCTACAATTGTGTTCGCCACAAAAGCAACGGGACATCAATAAAAATGAGACCCTCGAGTGTGAGCTGTGTGTGCGTGTGTGCGTGTGTCCGTGTGTGCGAGCTTGTGGTTTACAAAAGGCCAGCGATCGGTCAATGTGCCAGTTGTGCCCGCATCACAGCAAATCAAATCGCTCCCAACTTATGCAACAATCCCCACAAGACTCGCTGACAATCGAACCCGGGCCTGGCACAACATTTAATTGAGTTATTACAATTTGCATAACTAAAAAAAAAAAAAAAAAAAAAAAAAAAAAAAAAAAAAAACTCTGGCAACGACGCGTTTGCTAATTAGTCAAAACCAAGCGCCACACGTGCGACAGACTCTCTTAAGCCGGTTTGTCCCTGCTCGGGCGCCGCGCTCCCAATGCCTGCTCGGACGCCTCACCTTGCCCCCCCGCACGCAGCTCGCTGACCGTTTCGTACATTTTTGATTGACGCAATGCATCTGAGTGGCAGCGAGCGTTGCGGTTTCCGGTCGTCTGCCTGATCCACTCGGTCCAGTTGCTGTTGTCCACGGTTTTCATTTTGGGTCTGCTTTGCTTTGCTGCACACGAAAATTTATGTTTATTGACGTTTGTCAACAATTTATTTAAATTTATTGTGACAGCTTTTTTCTCTGCTGCTCTCGCTGCACAGCCAGCCACACACACACACAAACACACGCACAACTTACATAAGGTATGCAGGTACATGTGTATTTATGAATGTCTTCTTGATGTATTAATCGAGGGTAGAGCAGGCGGCGTTAATCATGCGCGGTTGATAGATGCCATGTGTGTTGTTTATATATTTTTTTTTTGTTTTTCGGTAACAATTTAATATGCAGGTGCATCAATTAGCCTGAGCAGGGATGAAAAGGCAACTTCCAAAAATTAGAGACAATTGATCATGCTAAATATTAGAGGCGTATTTATAATTAGGCATTTGTTATAAGCGATTGATCTTTTGTTAAGCCATTTTAAGACACTTGTTCTAATTAGAAACAACGACAAAAGTTATTAGCAAATTTCAACGATAAAGCCTGAGGACCCAACCAGGCTTGGCGAAATATCACCTAAGTAAACTGCGTTCTAATAAAAAGGTGTGCCTGTTTTGATTCAAAACAATAAACATACAAATATAAAAAAAATTTAATTTCAGGAGTCTTCTGTTCAAAAAACAATTTGGCATCTAAATTTGGCAAAATTATTATTGTTGTAAGTAAAATACAAATACTTATTTGAAACGTTTTCCTCGCCCGCTTAGCAAAACATTGTATAAACTTAAGGAATGTTGTCTTTTTTATTCGTATATTCAAAAATTAATCAGTGAAGAATTTAAACAAATTAATGGAAAGCTGCAGAACACTGATTACAAAAGTAATTGTAGGTTTTATTGCTGGATGTTCTGGGTCTTGGGCCCTAGGCCTTAGACGTAAAATCTCTACCACTTCTTTGACTTGTCTCTAAATGATATATGAGCTGCTTATGAATAACTTATAAACCTAGTTTACTTCACTTTTATGCTAGTTATATAGTTGCGTTTTACCTGAAATATGTCCCTCCGTTTCCTTGCATTTTTACCCATAACTCAGGGCCTGAGTTGGCCAGCATGACTAATCCAGAACCGTTTTAATTTTTTTTATATTGTTTCCCAGGAACTTTTAAGCAACTTGCAATCATCGATGACTAAAACGCAAGCGAAAAGTTTAGTTTAATTCCTTTTGCATTTAATTTATTGTTGGCTGCGCCTGCGGCAAACGAAGCCGAAGTCGCATTAAAACGCAACCCTTTTTTTTATTTTTATTTTTTATTGTTTCAATGTCGGATATTGCCTTATTTACGTTTACGTGGCCAACCTGTGCCTGAAGAGACTACAAAAACATGCGCAGACATAAATCATAAGCGTCGGCGGCGACGTCGACGACGGCGAGTTACCCAGAAACGGTCAAAGATACAGATACACTAGCTATATACAGAGAGAGAGAGAGGGAAAGATACGTATATGCGCAGATACAGATATAGAAAATGGCAGTCAAAGTTTTTAACAAGCATTTAACGATTTAATTTGGCAAACACAAAAAGCCCAATACAAGCGAAAAAGGCAGCGAGCCAAAGAGCCAGGTTAGCAAAGGGTTCAAGAACTAACCAACGGATATTTATGGATTGAAGGCGCAACCTTGCCAAAAAAAAAAGCAGAAACTGAAAACCAGAGAAAAAAGCAAAACGAGTGCAGAAACGCGACTGGGGAATTGCTAACTGCGGCAACTGTTGGCAGCGGTATCCCATATGCAAAAGCGCCCTAAATGACCGAAAGGGATAGAAAGCTGGACAGAGCACGGGGTTGTCCCGTATGGGACCATAGCATATGTGCCTTGGATCTGTGTGTGCGTGTGTGTGTGTGTGTCGAACTGCCGACTGCAAATGGAGCACATAAATTATATTCCATTCGATGATATTTGCGTTTTGCTGCTCTTTACTTAAAAAGCAGCACAGCAAAGGGACTGAACCAGGCGGGCGGGCAGGCGCACAGAAAGGACTCCGCCGCCTCCACTAGGATGGGCATCCGAGCAATTTTTAAGTTTTTCAACTCTGTGCCAGAGTCAGCAATTTGCTATGGTCATATTTCTTCAGACTACACACATGCATTTTAATGTGTGTTTTGGCTTTTGGTTCGTTTTTAGTTATTTCTGATACCCTGTAGCTATTTAAAATGCAGCGGCAAAGAAGATATGTGTGCGGTCACATCATGACATATGCTATCTAAAGAACATAGTTTTAAAGCAGCATTCATTAGATCTAATGCCTCTGCCTACCTGAATTAACCCGGGGACTATAAGAGCCAGAGAACTTAAAGTTTTGATACCATGTATCCATAAATAGCTTGAGACTATAAGAGCTACAGACATTAAAAATGGTATGCAGGCTCCATAACATATATACAACATCAAAGAGTATATACATTTTTAGCAGTATCCACAAATATGTACATCTAACCATATGCAGCTGACTGTCTGAAATAACTTGGGGACAATAAGAGCTAGATACCTTAAAATTAGTACGTGTGCTCTATAAAATGCCATGAGCTTAGAAAGTTCAATTTAGATCGGCCTGTCTCAAGAATTCGGAGACTCTAAAAGCTAGAGACTACAAATTTGTAGCCAGCTCTATAGCTAACACTGAAAGGTATACAGTAATCGATTATATAGGGTAACTCTTTGTTGATCAGTTTCATCAAGTAGCATCCTTAGTTGTTTTCTATTTGCTTTCGACATTTGTGAAATGTGCCTTTGACTTGGCTGTGGCAGCGACTGCGACTGCTGCAGCTGAGTTTGGGTTTCAAATTAAAGGATTTCCAGGCTCGACCGCAATCATTTATCGACTCGCAACTCTTTGGCTTTTTTCCTCTATCTGTCTATCTGGCTAAGTAAATGCGCCATAATTTATGGAGCCTGCGCCATTAATATATAGTATGTACATGTACTTTATAAGCCCGCCCATAAAAGCTGCGGCTAGGGCTCGGCTGTGTGTTTTTTACTTTTTATTATTTTCTCTGTGGTCTTTGGGCCATTTGTTTTGTTTGTAAATTTTAATTTTTTATCTTTTTCTGCTAATTGCAGCTACTCAGCAATTGATTTAAATTATCTACCAAATGTGCACACGCACACTGCGTACAACTCTTAACTTTTTTATTTTTTGTTATTTATGCATTTGTTTACGTATAATAAATATTTCATAAATTTACGGTCGCAATTGGGTTAACCAGCGTTGAAAAACGTTGCAATTAAGCTCCACATAAAATACACGTTTAATTTCTACCAAAACAAAAACAAAAAAACAAAAAAAACAACAAAAAATACGAAAAACTGGCAAGTTTATTAAAAACTCTGTCACTGGCATATGCGAATGTTTTATATTGTCATTGGGTTTGCATAAAATGTGACATAAAACAAATGCATAAATCTCATTTAACGTTCAACAATTTAAATGCATTTTTATTTCTGCCTGTTGCCGCCTGTTGCGGTTTATATTACACACACCCTGTATATTTTAAAAAGTTAAAATTATTCAAATACAATTATTACACAAAGTTTGCCACGAGATGTATTAAGTTGAAAAGGTAAAAATTTGTACAAATTGAAATTTGAAAAATGTAAATTATGATTTTATCAATGTGGAAACTCATGACAAAAAATAAATTATTAAAATGACAGGAAATTAAATTAATTGACAATATATTTGTTAGTCTGTGAGGAACACTTCTGAGAGACTTGGCCATAAAACTTGATCCTCAAACTCTGCAATTTTTGTCCAAATTTGTAATTTAATATTTCAAAAGTATTGACAATCCCTGTATATGCTTAAATGTGTTGCGTTTTTATATAGTTTGGCTGATAAACATAAATTAAAACAAACATGGAATAAACAATTTTAAAATAATTGTAATTTTAAATATTATACTTTGAACCCATTGAAAATTGGTAAGCGGTTTATAATGTTTTTGTGCGAATATACGGGCAGAACAGGTAGAAGGACGCATCAGCGACCCCATAAAGTATCAGCATCAAAGGCCGAGTCGATCCAGCCAAGTATGAACACTGAGATCTCAGAATCTATAAGAGCTAGAGATTTGAACGTAGGTCATCCTTGTGCCCGCGCAGGACGATTGAGTTTCCTATAATCAATAAGCGTTCCCAAGCAATCGATTAAAGCGATATGGAAATCTCTTTTTGAGCTACGAGATTTTAAGGGCTAAAAATTTAGTTTGGTATCTACAGGTCATGTATCTTTCATTTTATGACAGTGATTAATTATTTATTTTTGCCAAGAGTAAAAGTAATGGTACTGGGTATGCCCTAGTCGGACACTCCCCATAACAACAAAGTAAATTAGAAAATAACTGTTTTTTGTTATAACTCAATTTTGGATTCACAATCGCAACACAAGTTGACAAACAAAAGCGAAAATATTTGTTTACAACAATAAAACGTGTTACTTTTGTCAGTTAGTTGTGTTAATTTATATGATTATGTTTAGACTCTTATTTGGGAGATCAAGCACTGCTATTAGCTGTTAATTTAGAGCTTCATTTGGATGTCAAATTACACAAAAAAATGTTAACTTTCTTTTGCTGCTTGATAAATGAACATAATTATTTAAATATGTTTTAATAATTTTTAAGTGATGCCTGTCGACAAAATTGTCGCTCAATTGCAATAAGAAAATGTCTGGCTGTATGCATCATTAATGGCACACACAGACACAAAAAGCAACTTGTTAGCCATAATGGCTAGTAAATTAAACATTTAATTTATTAACAAACAGTTTTGCTGGCAGTCGGCAGTGACAAACAACAACAACAACAATATTTTTCCAGTGCAGACAACTGCAACAAACGACTTTCAAGAGCGGCTGCTGTTGCTGCTGCTGCTGCTGCTGCTTCTTTTGCTGCTGTTGTTTATTTTGCATTGAGGCGCATTAAGAAGCAGTTGATGCGGCTGCTGTTTTATTATTTGTGGCGCATGGCATAGCAGACAACTCGAACTTTTTAATAGTTTAAAAGCAACGCACACACGCACGCACACACTCAATAAATATGAAAACAAATTAAGGCTGTTAAGTCACAACAAACTCTGTGATAAAACTCAACTGTGCAACTTGTGAGTCCACTCATACTT